AACTCTTTCTAAATAAAATCAGAGTTGGCCGGAATAGCCAACTTTGAGCTCTCTTCAGCTAGGATTAGGATCTAGGCTAAAGAGGTTGGCTAGAAAAACCAACACTTCTCTTAAGCCGAGGATAAGGATCCAGGCTGTAGGACGCTTGGCTGGAAAAACCAAACACTTCGCTCAGAGTTGGCCGGAATAACCAACTTTGAGCTCTCTTCAGCTAGGATTAGGATCTGGGCTGAAGAGGTTGGCTGGAAAAACCAACACTTTGCCTAAGCCGAGATAAGGATCTAGGCTGCAGGAAGTTGGCAGGTTTGACCAACAAGTCTTTGCCGTACTGGGGGGCAATCAAGAAGTTTGGAAGGAATGGCCAAGCATTTAGCTCTTCTTCAAGCCAAGATAAGGATCCGCGCTGAAGAAGGTTGGCAGGAATAACCAACATTTAGCTCTCCTAAGCCGAGAAGAGGATCTAGGCTGCAGAAAGTTGGCAGGTTTGACCAACAAATTTTTGAACTCTTTGGCCGGGATGATGGTTACCTCGGCCAAAGCAGGTTGGCAGGTATGACCAACAAATTTTTTCCTAGACCGAGATGGTTATCTCGGCCAAAGCAGGTTGGCAGGTATGACCAACAAAAAATTTTTTTGAACTCTTTGGCCGGGATGATGGTTACCTCGGCCAAAACAGGTTGACAGGTATGACCAACAAAATTTTTGGAACTTTTTGGCTGGGATGATGATTACCTTGGCTAAAGCAGGTTGGCACGTTTGACCAACAAACTTTTGAACTCTTTGACCGGGATGATGGTTACCTCGGCCAAAGCAGGTTGGCACGTTTGACCAACAAATTTTTGAACTCTTTGGCCTGGATGATGGTTACCTCGGCCAAAGCAGGTTGGCACGTTTGACCAACAAATTTTTTCCTAGACAGAGATGGTTATCTCGGCCAAAGCAGGTTGGTAGGGTAAGTATAAACCGAGTTAGTCTGCTCGGCGAGACACAGAAAGAACGACTCGCCATACGATTGCAAACTCAAAGGATATATATGTTGAAGGCAAAAAAGCAAGGCTATTCAAGTTTTCAGCATGACGGTGGAAACAGGAGAACGAGGATTTTAGGAGCACGCCATGTATCCTGGGAATGACGTTGTACCAGATTAGTGGAAGGACATGTTGAGCAACTGACAAGGCTTATTGGGGGCCGAACAAACTTTTTAGCTCGGCAGAGTGGGGGCGTTCTTAGCTCGGCTGGAGGAAAAATAATCCCAATCATGCTACGCAAATGGAATTAAGGGGCAATTGAGAGAGTAATTTGTAAACAAATTGGGCCGACCTAGGAAGAGTCTTCTTTGGGAGCTGGGCCGCATACTGGGCCTATAAGGGCCGGAGTATGGACGACGGGTAGCTCGGTCCCTTTTTATCTGAGTACCAAACTGGGCAAGGGCGTTGACCGAGCTACCTAAATCCTAGGCCCAAGGGTTGGTCGAGGTGTTTGGTAAGACAGATGGCCGAGCTAGGTATAGCTCGGTCGATGATTCTATTCCATTACTTAGTTTAGCACAGAACCGAGGTAAAGATGACAGCCGAAGTGAAGAAAGTTCTGTAGCAAACCGAGATAACATCAATGGCGAGGGCCGAGCTGTGTATAGCTCGGCAGGGTGGCATTCGATAGATCGACTTTCGATTACACGATCCGAATGGCAGGGGACCGAGATAAGGCAGTTCGGTCAGGAATGTATAACCAAGGTGAAAGGGTTCAGCCATCTCACTTGGCTTGCAGTGATGAAACTCCAAGTAGGACTCTGCTAAGGAGAGTTAGAGTCCTACTGGGATTGTGCAAACCATCTCACTTGGTTGGTAGTGAGTAGGAGTATGACTCCTAGGAGGACTCTGCTAAGGAGAGTAGAGTCCTACTAGGATTGTGCAAAATCATCTCACTTGGTTGGTAGTAAGTAGGGTGTGTGATTCCTAGGAGGACTCTCATAGGGAGAGTTGGAATCCTACTAGGATTGTGCCAAAATAAAGTCTATAAAAACTCATGACCAGTCCTATGGACAGGTATCTCAATTCTTACTCTATAATACACAGAGCTTATTGTCTATTGTCTAGTTGCTGACTTAGGCATCAGAGGGGTTTCCGGCACACACCCGCCGGTTAGCTCACGTTTGTGTTTTCAGGTGGCAAAGCAACGTTGTTTGGAGGAGTGCAAACTTGATCAACAAGATCATACGAGAAGAATTATTTTATGCTCGTACAATTACTTTATAACTATCCTACTAATTTTCAATTTTCCGTAACCTTGAATCGCTATTGCTTTCTTACACCATGTGAATCATATTTTGGTACGAAGAATTGATAATTAATATCATTTTGCTTTAATCTTAATTCGAGTTATTAAATATATATATATATATATATAAAATAAAAATATAACATGAAAAATATGACAAAACAACTTTATCCAGTTGATAAACTTGATACAAAAAAAAATTATAATTTAATTAGGTAAAATAATAAAGGCACACTTTCTCCAATTATTCAGTAAATTATCCTTTGTGCCATGCACTCTACATTCATCTTACTTTATTTCTTGACATTTTAATCATCACAATCAATCCCCTAAGTTCGAGTCAAGTAACAATTAGGCCTAATTTTGTAATGTCGTTCTGATGAAGGAATTAAAATGTAAGAATTAAAGTGAGATTTTAATAAAAGTATAAGGATGCTAAGGACGAAAGTGAATGATTAAAGTGAAATTTTAGTAGAAATATAAATGTGTTAAATGTAATTAATACTTTTACATGTTTGTTTGTTTGTTTGTTTTTTTAATTTTTGAAACCATATTATATAAATGAGTGAAATTGTAACTCGAGCTAAACTCAACAAAGATGGATGCTCCAAGGGTGATCCTGGTCAATCTGGATTTGATGGGTTGCTCAGAGATGAAGTAGGTACCTGGGTTTGGGGATATTTTGGCTATTTAGGCAACTGTACAAGCCTAGAAGCTGAGTTATTGTGGGGCATATACAGAGGTCTCACCATAATCATGCAGAAAGGAATGGCCAACATCCAAACCGAAACTGATTCTCAGCTGGCTATGGAACTCATTCGAGATGGAGCTGCTGCAAACTCTCCATATCGGACACTCATTGAAGATGCCAACTTCATCCTCCGAAGATGTCAATGCACTATTGCCATAATTCTCAAGGAAGCAAATCACATTGCAGATGCTATGGCAAAGCTATGAGTAAATCAATAGGAGCACCTCCTTTTCCTAGAAGACGCACTCAGTTCTATTTCCTCTTTGTTAGTAACTGACATGATCAATGTTGGTTCAAGAAGGGATTCTAATATCCCATGACTCTAGCCTTGTAAACTGTTTTATCTATTCAGTTGAATCAAAAAAAAAAAATTGTAACTCGACTCAAAAGATGGAAGACACAATGGGATTGGAGGTAAAAAGTAAGGCTGAAAGTGTAATTTGCACCCAATTATTTTTGCTGCTAATACTAGCAAGTAGGGCTGCAAACGAACCGGGCCGAGCCGAGCTTTGCTGAGCTCGAGCTCGGCTCGTTTACTTATCGAGCTCGTTTATTGAGCTCGAGCTCGGCTCGATAAGGAACTCGGCTCGAGCTCGGCTCAGCTCGTTAATTTTAATGAAACTCGAGCTCAGCTCGGCTCAGCTCGGTTCGGCTCAATAAATTTTTTTTAATGTTATTTATATTATTTAATGTATAAAAAAATGTATTTATATATATTTATATATTTTTAATATATAAATAATGTATTTTCGAGCTCGGCTCGTTTACTAAACGAGCCTAATATTCAAGCTCGAGCTTAGCTCGTTTACTAAACGAGCCGAACCGAGCCGAGCCCTTAACGAACTGAGCCGAACCTGTTCATAAACAATTCAGTTCATTTGCAGCCCTACTAGCAAGTGGCCACTGATTAGGACATAACAAAATGTCCCTAGTTTCAATACTATAATGAGATTAGCATATACTAGTAATTATCATCACCATCAATCAACATCACTGCAATGGATAACTTTCTTTTTTTAGGGCTGATAATGCGGCTAAAACCCTAACCTAAAGTAGCCACAATCAAAATTTTGAGAAGTATTTCACAAACCATACAGCATAACTGAATTCCCTGATTCTAAATTCAGTGATCATAAAAATAAAAAATAAAATACATATAAAAAATTATATAAAATAACGTGTTGAGTTGTGAGTTTATCATTTTAAAATCAAAAATTTATTCAGGTGACTTTTAGTTATAAAAATATTACTGTCATGTCTTTTTAGTTGATTTTTATAAAAATAATTTTGTCAAAAAATAGTATTTTAATCTGTAACTGAACCTGAGAGTGAAACTTAATCAGAAGACAATATTGAAGAAACATTAGCAAACAGTCAGATTCATGAGAGAGAGAGAGAGAGAGGGGGGGGGGGGGGGAGCGGGGTATGACTTGTTATTAACCAAAACTACCATCTTGCATTACATACATTAGCCTCTACATGTCCAATGTGCTCTACAGTTCCTAAACCAAGCTAAAAAAATGGGAAAAGAGGTACCTGAGAAAATCCTAGTTGGGATACAGGAAAATATGAAACTTTGGAGAGAGAGAGAGGAAATGTTGGCCAAATTAGGTGATGCCCAATCTGTATCAAAATGAAATACAGGAATACAAGACCAACCGTCAAAACAAACTACAAAATTATCAAAAGCATTACCTTAATGATGGAAAGAGCACTGTAGCCATTTTAGGATCAGGAAAGCAAAAGGGACTCTGAAAAAAATTTCTCAAATCTTCTCACATCAAATCCTGCAACATCAGACACAGAGAGTTGAACAAAAGTCAGCACTTGAATTGTCAACTGCACTTCTCAAGGTTTAAAGTTGATTGAAAGAAGGAATATCATCTACCAATGTGTTGCAGCAACCCTTTGCTTGTCCTCCCAAGTGGGCTTCCATTTAAGTTTAGTTGAAAATCTACTCATCATGGTTGGCAACCTCATCAAAGATCAGAGATTGGTTTTTTTAGTCCTTCCACAAATCATGCCTAAATTGAACAATAACTATTCATTTCAAAAGATCTCCTCCCACTTCCATTAACAACCACCCCTATTTCACACAAGCCCCTCATTCATCAGCCTTCTCTACTCTCTCTCTCTCTCCCTCTCTCTCATACACACATGTGGCATGGAAACATCCATTAGTATGCCAGTCTTGTTCTATTAGTATGCACATGGAAAGAAAGGCAGAACAGAGGGTCTAATAAAGGAAAACTATCATTGGGAGCGTCCAATCTCTCCATCATGATCTTCAACAGAACCATGTTCCGTTTTCTACTGCAATGTTTGGTTATAATCGCTGAACAGCCAATTTCTGGCTATCAGCACCACTATCCCCCTCACCACTCTTTACAAACCGACAGAGCTGCACTTCTTGCATTCAAAAAGACCATATCATCCGACCCATATTCCGTACTTTCCAACTGGAATGAGGTCACTCAGGTGTGCAACTTCACTGGTGTCAGATGCAATACAAAGCGTCATCGCGTGACAAAACTCATCCTCCGTAATGCCGAACTTGTGGGGATGCTATCCCCCTTCATTGCAAACCTCACTCGGCTTCGAGTCCTAAAGCTTGTGAACAATAACTTCTCTGGCATCATTCCACCAGAATTCTCCTCCCTCCAACACCTTAGCCTCCTCTGGCTTGAAGGGAACAATTTGGAAGGCCAGATACCAGATTCCTTCTCTCATCTTACCAAACTTGCCTTAGTAAATCTACAGGCAAACAAATTAACGGGTAAAATTCCAGCTTCCTTCTTCTCTAACTGCACAATGTTGAAAAATGTAGACCTCTCCATGAACTTTCTCACAGGGGAAATTCCAACAGAAATTGGAAATTGCCCGGGTATCTGGAACCTCGCTTTGTATAATAACCAGCTCACTGGTGAAATCCCATTTTCAATAATCAACGCTTCATTGATGTTTAATTTGGATGTGGAGTATAACCATCTCAAAGGTGAATTGCCTTCAGAGATAGCAGCAAATCTACCTGAACTTCTCTATCTTCATTTATCATATAATAACATGGTTAGCCACGACAACAATTCTAATCTTGTTCCTTTCTTCACTGCCCTAAAAAACTGCACTATTCTAGACGAGCTTGAATTGGCCGGTATGGAGCTCGGAGGAAAGTTGCCTAGTTCCATTGGCCAACTTGTCGGTAGCCTGACATCTCTGTTGCTTCAAGAAAACAGGATTGCGGGATCAATTCCTCCAACTTTGGTGAATCTTACTCGACTCACGGTGCTGAATTTGACATACAATTTTTTGAGTGGAACCATTCCAGCTGAAATCAGTCAGTTATCGTACTTGGAACAACTGTTCTTATCTCACAATTTTTTCACTGGCTCTATTCCAGTAGCAATGGGACAGTTTCGACATCTTGGTCTGCTTGATCTATCAAATAACAGACTTTCTGGTGAGATCCCCAAAAGTCTAGGAGATTTGATCCAATTAAATTTTATGTTTCTTAACCACAACCTTCTTACAGGAGCAATACCTCCAAGTTTAGGACAGTGCGAAGATCTGTCCAAGCTAGACTTGTCCTATAACAATTTGACAGGGAACATCCCTCCAGAAATAACAAGTTTACGCGAGATCAGAATATTTCTGAATCTTTCTAACAATCATCTTGAAGGCACTTTGCCAATTGAGCTCAGCAAGCTAGAAAATGTTCAAGAGATTGATCTTTCATCAAATAATCTCACTGGAATTGTCTTCCCTCAGATATCAAGTTGCATTGCCTTGAGGTTGATAAATTTGTCGCACAATTTTCTTCGAGGACAGCTTCCAGAAACCTTGGGCGATCTCAAGAACCTTGAAGCCTTTGATGTTTCAGGGAACTTGTTATCTGGAACAATCCCAACAAGCTTGAACAAAATTCACACACTCACCTTTCTGAATCTTTCATGTAACAACTTTGCTGGAACAATTCCCTCTGGTGGCATCTTTGATTCTGTCACAAATCTATCATTTTTACACAACTGGGAGCTTTGTGGGTCGGTTCCAGGTATCCCCAGCTGCCATCGAAAGAACAATTTTTTTCATGTGCGTGCTTACTTGATTACATTTTTTATTGTCATTTTCGTAACAGTGTTCATCGCGGCAATATGTTGTGTGATTGGATGCCGGCGCTTAAAAACAATAATTTCTGTTGGGAATGTTGAAACGGAAACAAAATCACCACCAGAATTGATTCACAATTTCCCACGAATAACATACAAAGAACTCTCCGAGGCCACTGGAGGATTTGATGAGCAAAGACTAGTTGGGTCAGGCAGCTATGGACGTGTCTACAAAGGAATTCTTCCAGATGGGACACCTGTAGCAGTTAAAGTGCTACATTTGCAAACTGGCAATTCTACAAAGAGTTTCATTAGAGAATGCCAAGTTCTAAAGAGGATTCGTCACCGGAACCTGATAAGGATTATAACAGCTTGTAGTCTGCCTGATTTCAAGGCTCTTGTTCTTCCTTACATGGCAAATGGAAGCTTGGATAGCCGTCTGTATCCACACTCAGGTACCAGTCTGGCTTCAGGGTCTTCGGACTTGAGCCTGATTCAGAGGGTGAACATTTGCAGTGACATAGCCGAAGGGATGGCTTATCTGCATCACCACTCTCCGGTTAGAGTCATACACTGTGATCTAAAGCCAAGCAATGTTCTTCTCAATGATGACATGACAGCTTTGGTTGCGGACTTTGGGATCGCAAGGTTGGTCATGACAGCCGGAGCAGGAAATGCCGGGGTGGTGGAGAACATGGGAAGCTCTACTGCAAATATGTTGTGTGGATCGATTGGGTACATTGCACCAGGTACAGATTTCTCCTTTTTGCTTATCTGATTAATCAAAACCATGAAAAATATAAATAAAAACTTTTATATTGCATTAGACATTGTTATTTTGTTTGGAGCAAAAGAAAATAAGTAGGTTCATCATGAATTTTTTGGCACTTTGAATTGATGAAAAATTACTTCAATCTTTCCGCTTTGAGAAGTCATTTTCCAGCAAGGTTCTAAATATCGGCCGGTACGTGCTGTACCGGCCGGTTCGTACCAGAAAATGGGAGTGCCGAGTCGGATACTCACCGGTATACCGGTGAGAATGAATTTTGCGTCCGTAGCGGCAGATTTCCGATACGTATCGGCCTAAATCCGATACGTGAGCGATATAGCTCCGATACAGCTGAAAACGAGCAAAGCACCTGCAAAAATGCTCTGTTTATAATGCTCTAGTTTTTCCAATCCCATGCTCTGATACAACTCCGATACATTCCCATCCCATGCTCTGTTTATTAGGAGCATTTATATTGCTCTATTTTTTTCTTTTGGCTGAAGAAGTCATGGTTTTGCTTGTAAGTTGTGTTCGGTTTGTTTATAATTTTTTTTTTCTTTTTTCTGTGGTTATTTTTTTATTTATATTATGATATGGGATGGGAATGAGATATATTTTAATATATACTTATAATTCTTCAAATATTTATATGCGATTATGACTGAAGCGAATGATTTATTTTCATGCCCCTCTTTCTCTTATTAATTTGTTGTGTATGTGGAAGTATTTCATTGTTGAAAATACGTAAAAAAATATTTTCACATCAATTTTATATTAAAATTTTAACATATATGCCAAATAAAAGCTTGAGACTAAAATAAATACATATCATTTAGTTGAAAATGAGTCAAATGGTCCTCTATATATCAAAATTTTGATTAAAATATGATAAATTAAGGCTAAAAGAGTCAAAAAAAAAATGCATAAAATTGAGTTTTAGAGGGATTGCTAATGATTTTTGAAATTTCACAGCCGCGACGCCCGATACCCGATACGTACCGGTCGATACTACCGATACCGACACTCCACGATCGATACCGTTACGTTACCCAATACCGCGATTTAGAACTATGTTTTCCAGTGTACAGGCAGATTCAGAACTGCATTCATAACAGCCATAAGTCATTACCATCACAATCCCACATACTCAACAATCTGGTTCAAATTCTGTTATGGGTGTCTCTTGATTCAATCTGGATTTCGCTCATTACTCATAGGCAGCCCACACAATCCGATTAATGGGTGTGACAGCCGCTAGGACTGACCCAGTATTTGCATTTGGGTCTACTTTGACCCAGTTTGTTATTATTTGGATCCTTGTATATATTAGGTTATTTAGGAATTCTAGGATTTTATGGTATTGACATTGAGAGCTTCTATAACATATGGTTCTGTTGTGAGAACGGGCTCATTGTATTCTCCACATGCATAGTTAAACTCTTTCGTGCACTTGTCTGTTTGTTCTGTTTTATCTTTTCTCAATTTTTGGTTTTGCGATAACAAACTCATTATACGTTCTTATTTTTTCTCATACAGAGTATGGATTTGGATCAAACACAACTACAAAGGGAGATGTTTACAGCTTTGGCATTCTAGTCCTTGAGATGGTGACAAGAAAGAGGCCGATAGACGACATTTTTGTCGGGGGCCTAAACCTGCACAAATGGGTTAAGAGTCATTATCATGGACGAATGGAGAAAGTGATAGACTCTTCACTGGTGAGAACCATGAGAGATCAGTCCCCTGAAGTGAAGAAGATGTGGGAAGTTGCAATTGGAGAGCTAATTGAGTTAGGTATTCTTTGCACACAGGAATCACATTCTACTCGGCCCACAATGCTTGATGCTGCAGATGACTTGGATCGCCTCAAGAGGTACCTTAGTGGAGACACCACAGCAACATTTGCCTCCTCTCTTGGTATATCATCTTCTACTGTAGATGACTTCTTGTGAGGCACTTAACCAATTCGTTGTACATACATGTAATTACTGCAGCACAACCTTTCTGGAAGTTTGTCCATCACCACCAATCTATTAAATTATTCTGGGTATGAGAAGCGGTAACTCCTATGGTATGGAGAATCTGCTTGTCAATGTCATGTGTTTTTTAACCTAACATTAAGTGTTGCAAACAATGAATGCAGAGATAGAACCTCTGTTTTGCTACTCTTTTGGATCACATAATTCATACATCATTAATCACAATGAGGGTGCCAAATTAAACTAAGGTCCAAACTGGATGCATGCCCTCAAAGAAGAGAAAAGATTGAATTTAAAACTAAATCCAGACAGGTGACTACAGCTGATAAGATAAAGAAACAACAGTGTTAGAATCTTTGTGCCTTTACTTCCACCAGCTCTCCTAAAACAGTAACAAACTACGCGAGCCACCCAACAAAGCCAACATAAAAATCTAGTCTTAGCACCCATGTGAGGGGATCTTTCCATGGTGTTAAGGAAGATTTTGACTATGATTTTAAGGCCCTGTGTGGTCTGTCTATTGAGTACTTGGAACCCCTGTGCAGGTCTCCCTGCACAAGGGTTGGATTGTTTAGTCCCATACCCTAACAATCACACCCAACGAAACACCTTTGCGCATCTAGACTACTAAAGCAAGTACCTTAAATTTTTAAGTGTAATATATATAAATATTTTTCTATCGTACCACATTTTAGAATATATGACGTACCACGTTTTCATTCCCATTCCATATACTGGAACGATCCACATTCTAGATAACACAAGGTTGGATTGAGTATTTCCATACCCCAACAATCAACCCCAAGGAACCAGGCATCTAAACTCATGAATTGCGTTCTAATACCACTCGTTAGGATTTTTGTGTCCTCTGCTTCTATCTCTCCTAAAACTAATTGGAGTTAGAGGGGGTTTTGGCTTTGGTTTAAGAACTCATATGATCGACCAGTCAATGTCTCTTAAGCACTTGGAGACCTTTTGCTGGTCTCATGTATAAGGTTTGGATTGTTTGCTCCCATACCATAACAAAGAGAATGGTCATTTTGTCGTGACACAGGATCACACAAATAAGATTCAGAAACAAGAGAATAAAGATACAAAAGAGACTATGTTAAGTATAGTTTTTTAATCTAGACTACTAAAGCCAGCATTTTTTAAGTCGGGTATTCAGGTTTTGAAGGCATAGATACCGTGTGTATAATATAACTTATACAATCACACAAAATCCATACTTGCAGATGGTGCTCCGTGATAAAGCATAGGCTAAGTGCAGTTTGATGACTGTGCTGCAGAATACAATACTAAAAAATAAGCACATAACCAAAGGATGAACAAATATTGAATGAAGCACATTGAATACTTAATGGTTTATAGTATACACGTGAACATAACGATAGAACGAAAAGGGAATCTAGTAAGAACACACTGACATATATCAACAGGGTATTTTCCTGATAGAATGAAAGTTCTGTCATTTTATAACAATCATCGTGCCATTTATACTGCTACAAGATAAAACAAAATATTACGTCTTCTTTTTTCTTTTTTCTTTTTCTATGACCGTAAAATAAAAATTAAGGAATGCCTTTTTGGATAAATATAATATAAATGGGAAGCAGGCAAAATAATTGCAAAGTTGCTCTGTTTAGTTGGGGGATTTGGGAAAGGATTTGGAAAAGGAAACGGAAATGGAAAAGGTAGGTGAAATGTGAATAAAATATACCTATATTTTACTTAGTTTCATACATCTTTTTCCTTTCTATTTCCAAAACCCTTCTCAAAACCCCAACCAAACACAGTATAAAGTACCGGACTGCAAGTGAGACATGCTCATTGCAATTGAGACATGTGCAAATTAAAGGAGTGCAAATAGGTGCAAGTGAGAATAGTGCCATTTTTGCACCTCTCACTTGCACTGAACACATCTCACTTGCACTCAATTATTTCAAAACATGCAGAAAGATTAAGGAAGTTTTCAGGAATCAATAAAAACAAGCAATTTGTAATGGGGTTAACAAGCATGGCCTATGACACAGACTCCATTACAGTTCTCCAATTATAGTGGGAACATACTGTTTCCAGCACATGATGTGAAATGGTGGGAAAACTTTTTATAAAGTCAAAATCCTCAGTTAGCTAATGTTCTAGAAGATAGCTATTTATCACTAGATGTCAACCCAGAGGTATTCACATCTTCTTCCCTCCTCATATTGTTATGGAAGTTCTCTATTGCAAGTCACTTCTCCCATAATGCTCCATGTCACCATGTCACATATGAGACAAGGAAAACAGAGCAAGTATTCAAACTTGCAATAATCTATATTGTATATCTATCTATACTTTTTATATAAGTCCACATAGGCGTGAAACATTTCTTGGACGTACATATACTAACGAAATTGTCCATGTTAGAAGGCACTTTATTATTTGAGAAACAACATTAATCATTAGATTTATTTAATCTTAACTCTAAACTATGTTATGCCACATAGGAAATTTTTTATAACCGTTCGATTTATTCAATTTTAACCCTCAATTATGCCACATAGGATATTTTTCAAAATCTGATATATTTTATTATATAGATATATATACATAATAAAATAATGATTTTGATTCGGTAGGGCATGGATATTAGATAATTAGGGTTTTGAAAATGGTAAATAATTCAGGGGAAAGATTATGACACTTTATGAATTCTACAGTGTGTAAATAAAAATCAAATATGGATCTATTGTAAAACATTTCTTGGACATATACACCCCCATTGAGTGGGAATGACACATCTCCATGACATTATCTTCCATACTACTCCATGTTTATTTTTCTTTGGGACCCACTCTAACCCTACAAAGATATTCCAAGCCCTTCATCTCGTAATAAAGATGGTATGTACAAAAAAATCAACTTTATCGAATATTGATTAATAGATGAATAAAATGTATTTTGTTTATAAAATACATGTTTAAGTTTAAACTTATAGTTGCATCCATTTAAAAAATTTTAAATATATATATAATTTGTTTGTGTCTAGTTAATTCATGGGGAAGTTACTGATAAAGTTTTATATACAAAATTCAAAATCTATCTAATCCTAAAATAAAATATTTGCATCAATTAGTCCTATATATTTTTAACTGTTACCAAAAAAGTCTATTTTTAAAAATAAAAAAAAAAATTAAAGACACTCCTACATCTTACCACTGCCGGACTTTTGTCAGATGGTCATCGGAGACTCGCCAAAATATTCAACATCACCAGAAAGTCGGCGGAATATCATCGGAAATTCGCCGAAATATCACCAGAATGTTCTGAACATCATTGGAAGTCGTCAGAATGTGTAGAATATTAGCTGGACGTCAAAAATATCGCTAGAGATTCATCGGAATGTCTAGAATATTGCCGGGGGGGAAAAATAGAATAAACTAAGAAATTAAAGTGAAAAAACATAGCAAAATGTGCTAAATATTGATAAATTAAAAGAAGGAAAAAAGAGCCTAAGAACAACAAACAACAACAATGAAAAAAATATGTTATTGTGTATAGTACAAAAAAAAAATATTAAAATTGAGGAATTGAAGGAAAGAGACAGATATAGAGAGATACTTGTACTCTGACAATTATTTTTTGGTTTAGATTTGGCGATCTAACGTATATCTACTCAGATCTGATGTAGATCTTACCTGAGTAGATCTACTCATCTTCTTCGTCGGAAACTCATCTCTTTCGTCGTCAGTGAGCAGAAAGTAAGGAGTTGGTGCTCGGTAGTTGCCCATGAACCCAAATCAATGGTGGTCGCCGGTCGCCGGTTACTATAGATTAGAAAGAGAAAGAAAAAAAATAAGGTATGATCGTGGTCGTGGTGGTCGCCGATATCAGAGAAAGAGAGATACAGAGAAGAGAAGAAGCAACTTTATCGAATATTGATTAATAGATGAATAAAATGCATTTTGTTTATAAAATAGATGTTTAAGTTTAAACTTATAGTTGCATCCATTTAAAAATTTTAAAATCTATATATATAATTTTGTTGGTTTAGAACCTGGACCCAATTAGGTCACCTATGGTGGCATGACCCAATTAGGAGAGATCCAAATAATCTTTATAGATTATATTTTAAAATATGAGATAATCTTGATATGGATAATTGTCAATATATTAGATATTAATTATTAATTAGATATAATTCTAATTGTGCATAAAATTGATGTTTTTCGAACCATCTCTGATTGTCCTGAATTTCATATATGTTGTAATGTATATTATTTAGACCATATCTACAAAGATGTACAAAAATTAAATAGTCGGATTTTGAGAAAAATGAAGATTTATATATGATTTTCGTAACTTTAACTGGATGCTGATTTTACATGCTTTGTTTTTATGTTGTGAAAATTATATATTTAAAATCCTTGTTTCGAGACCTTCGAAACAATATATTATGGGCCTAATTCTGACTTACGGTTGAAGAGAAAACTCAAACCCTAATTTTAGATAAGAATTGAAGTAAACGGAAAAAAAGACGAACTTGCTGACATCATCTGTGCAGTTTGACTTAACGTTGATTGACGTGCTAATGCGTGCGTTGACGTCATCTGCTTAGGTAAATAGTGACGTAGGAGCTGAAAAGTTTAAGACTCTGTTTGTTTGTTTGTTTGTTTTTTGTTTTAAATTTAAAAATTACATTAATTGCTTTTATATTATTCGATATAATTCTGATTGAAACATGACTTATACCATTGGACTCATAATCTTTTATACAATTTTTTAAAGTTTCAGAATCTTATAAAAAATAAAATATTTTGCATTAATATATAATTCAATATTTTTTACGTTAAATTGCTCTTAGGGAAGCATGACTTGGATGTTAATTATACAATTTTTTAAAGTTTCAGAATCTTATAAAAAATAAAATATTTTTCATTAATATATAATTCAATATTTTTACGTTAAATTGGTCTTAGGGAAGCATGACTTGGATTCTGAACTTGAAATTTTTATAGTAGACTACTGCTATATGTAATCTTAGTTACTGGTATGATTTTTTTATTTTTTCAGATTCTGTAATATTTATTTCTGATTTTCTGTGTAATTATTAATTACTTATAATTCTAGAAAATTTCAAAAAATTTCAGAAATTATAGAAATATGTTATGACATTATTTAAATATTATATACAGCATATTAAGTTCTTTTAAATTATTAAAACTTTTAGTATGTTG